ATTTATCCATAACGAAGCTTAAGAAAAAATAAAATCTGGAAGACTGATCACCTGGACATCCTACTGATGTGCCATTTTTAAGCTCCAGCCATTCAACTTTGGGACCACACCCCATCTGAAGTGAATTATCTTTCAAGATCCCCTTCAATCATGAACTGACCCCGCTTCCCTCATGCACAACTGCTAAACCTTCACCCACCTCCACTCTCCTACCTTACTCTCAGGCTATTCTCAGTCCCACTCATCCTTTAGCTTATTACACCACCAATGTCCAGGGCCCTGGGAGGAAGACGACTCTAATCCTTTTCCTAAGTTACTCATCCAAGCGGCCATATAACTTATTTCATTCATGTCAAAAAAAAACTTTCAATTGCATCTTCGCTCTTTGTGTGAGTCTCTCCAGTTTGAAATGTTTACGTGTTTTATATTTGTAATTTGACTGGATTGTTTGAAAAAAAAAATCCTCCATTAATTTAATTATAAATGATGTTTTTTTGTGTGTGTTCAATTAGTAATGTTACTGGATTCTCTGGCATAAAGGTTTTTATTCAATAATTGTTTCATTTATTAATTCAAATGATCACATCAGGCAACAATCGCTTTTATTTTCCTTTAAATTGATCTTTCATCATCTTAAACCTCTATTTCAAATTTAACTGAGGATATAATATCATATGAATGGAAACATTTGAGCCACTGTTCAACAGTCGTGCTATTTGAAGCACAGACACCAACAAAAGTCCACGCCTTTAAAAAATTACACCCAAACATAAATAGGATTTGCTCCACAGTCGTCTCAATTTGCAATCATTCTTTTTGCCTGTCCACCTTTTTAATGAACTTTCTTATAACTTCACTTTTTATGCATATATTATATACTGTACTCATTACCGTGCTCAAAAAAATATTACAGCAATAACTTCCAAAGCTTTTTTCTACTTGTGTCTGGTGTCATTAACTGTTTCTCTATGATTATGTTCATTTTTTGTATTAATATTCACTTTATTATCTGGTCTTTAATAAAATAAGAGAAGACTTATAAAATCTGGAATAAAAAACTCACTTTCAGGCAAATGATAGTAGTTGTAACGACTATCTTACCCTCAGCAGGCATTGTAAAGACATCTTTAGGGATATAGAGTTTATCCTCGGCTGTCCTGGCCCAGTCTTTCATCCCTCGTCGTCCCTTCATGGGAAAGTTAATATCACTTGACACTGCTGACACTGGCTCTCTTTGTATTGTTATCACTAAAGAAAAGAAAACAAAAAAAAATCGATAAACTTGATACAATTTTACAAAAAGTAGTGCCTGAAAAAAAGCAAAAGACTAAAAAACTGTTCAGTTGAAAAAAATAAATAAAATATATATATATATATATACCATAGAGAGATAAGATGAAATGTTTGCACAGGGTACTAAAATATACATGCAACTTTTGACTGGGTGGGAAAGAAGCTCTAAATTATTTAATATCTGAACTCAGTATCATATAACTTTATCTGTCATACATGACTGAAATTAGTAGTCCTTGGACTTACTGAGATTGTTTGTGACTGTTAGGAAACTCTGAAAAGGCTTTTGTGCTTCTCCAATGAAATGAATAAAATCTTCTAATATTCTCATCAGCAGAGCAGCACCAGGAGCGACCTGTAAATGGAAAGATTAAAAAAGTAGGTCATATGATTGATTGATGAAAAATCAAAACCAACTTTGAAACATGATTTAATACAATCCCTTGTTTTTAATTTGGTAAGAACATGAAGTTCCTTGGTTTTCCATATTGGTGTTAAGGTCTTACGCAGAAGCCACAAAGGAACATACTATTCTCAGGTATAAAAGCCATTCTAAGATGAGTTTGTGTAAAAAAAAATAATAATAATAGCCAGAGACAGTTAAAACCATTAGCAGTTAATGCACAATATTGTTTTTAAGCTTCACTCAAACTGGCCTGTTTTGTTAGCAGGTCTCCATGTTTTTCTTTCAAAGGTTGAACCATAAAGACAGGGCATGCATTTTTTGAAACATGAAATCCTTTCATGTCTGCAGTATATCAACAACAAGCTTACATACAGTGAAGAAATATTTGCCTCACAATTTCTCCTTTTGTTTTGTTTTTTTACACTGAATATTAAATCAGTATAATCTTACGGGTTTCAATTAATGTCAAAAGCAACCTAAGAAAATATTACATTTAGTTGAGAAACAATGCTTTAAATATTTAACTTAATGCTTCACTTATTTGACAGAAAGCAAAAAATATATATATTAGAATCATAGTTCTGAATGAAATAGAAGCCCATGCTTTCAGCCATAGACTGCTGGGGATTTTGAACTTGCCCTACCCCTCCAAATAAAATAAAAAAAAGTCTTCATAAGAATAGAATTAGAATAATTAATAGGTAAACATTTTACCTGATGTGCGTCCTCCCACTTTTCAAGATTTTCCAAGTCCAACATATGACTGATAATCTGGAAGAATTTCTAAAAACAGGAGGAAGAAGTTCAGATAGAAAGGTGACAATATGATCAACTTTGAATGCACAGGGCAAGTTAAACTTTTTTATTGAAAACTTAGAAGGGAGCTTTAAGAAACACACTTAGTCAAAGCATTTTTTTTCACAAAGTTTAGACAAATATTTTTGGTGGAAAAAGGGTTCATTATTTGGAGGGAGAAGCAAAAAGAATTTAGTATTTTTCCAAAACCAGAGAATGAAATATGTACTGAGCCTAAGAATGCATTTGTATCTGGCTCTGATGAGCCCATACTATGTACTGCAAACACATCAATATGATACAATATAAATTCTTACATTGTGGTTTAGACTGGATGATCAGGGGGGTTGATTTGGAAAGAGTTGAACATCCCAACTAATCTAGTTTTCTGCCTTGGATTTAGCTGCCACTAAAATCTATACATAAAATTGTTATTGTTTAGCAAGTTCACATTTGATTGCGGTGATATTTGTTCTTTTTGTCACGTATCCATTAAGAGCAGAACTTTGGGTAAAATCACAGAAAGTTTCCCTAGAAATAGACTCTCCTTCCTGCTGGTCACTGAACCTCCATTAGAGAAACGGTGGGATTACTGACGATTTTACTTTGCTCTTTATGGACAACACATGAAAGATAATTTCAGAAACCAATTATGCTCTGCTTTAAACTTGATCTAAATTTGTTTCCTGACCTCCTTTGTGTAAAACACTGTCTATATGATGATCTTTGATCACAGACTTTCTTTTAACTGTTCTGAAGGGCGGTTAGAGAAAAGCTATACTGTGACTTTATATGTTTATGAAAAGGTTTTATTAAGTAAATTATTTATTGGGAATACATGTCAGAAGAAAAAAAAAACGTAAAAATTGATAGCCTTCTCTAAACTTTAATTTTACAAACATGCATTACTTTGTCTAAACTTTGTCTAAATCTAAGTTTGTGTTGATCTTTAACCTTTTGAAGGGTTTTAATACTGTATGGCAAAATTTGAAAGGTTCAAGCACATAAATGTAGCTTAAAATAAGAGGGAATTCTCAGTAGCAGTCTGCTCTGTGTCACACACAACCATAATTTGTTAATCACAACCAGTGAAACAGAAAGGTAATACTCTTGCAAAAAAAGAAGAGTCTCCCTACCTGCACGTCGTCGGAAGCTGGGATGTAGGTTGCTCTTTTGAAGGTGTCCGTCACATTTCGCAGGATCTCCGTGGAGAAGAGAAGGTCGCCACTGTAGTAGCTCCTCCTCTGCAAAAGTTCCAGGAGACTCCGTACGATCTGAGACATCCCCTCCCCGGCCAGGGTCCTCTGACCCTTCGCAAGATGCTCTAGTAACTACAATGCATTGAGAAATAGAGACATTTAGAAAAGGAGAGCTTCACCTTTGACTAATAACAACAACCATAACAAAAATGCAATGCGCATAAAAATACTACTAAGTTTTTGTTTGAGTATTATTTTTTACAATGGAAGCCTTTTACAAAGTTCAAGGTTAGTCGAAGTAATATGCAACAATTTAATTTATTTAACAATTTATAAATAAAATGTTGACCTGATGGTTTGAAATGTGACTCCCTAAAATTACTAAGGAGCCATGCAAATAAATAAAACAAACACCAAACAACAACAACAAGAAAAGTAGAACAAGTTTGTTTTTTAAAGGTTCAGTTAATTGAAGTGTGGGAATTTACATGCACACAAAACAAACTAAACCAACCACACATCCTACTCACTAACTAGCCCTTATTTGGAAAACATGTATTTACAGACGGAATACAAAAAAAAAAAAAAAAAATATATATATATATATATATATATATATATATATATATATATATATATATATATATATATATATATATATATATTATAAGAATATTATACAATATAAGAAAACAAATTAATAGGATTATGTAAAGGGACCCTTTTGTGTTTATTTTTAAAGACTATAAATTACAGAATTGAGAGTATAAAGGATAGTAGCTTTGTGACTTCTCAGCAACACAAAATGACATTTAATTACAAATGGTAAAAAGAAATTATACGTGTGAATTAACTAAGAGTACAATAACATTGATTTTTATCTCGGGAGGCACCGTATTTCCAATGACCTTTAAATAACAGCACCTTGCCAAATTTGGGAAGACAATGCCTAAGAACATTTTCCCCAATATATTTCCATCCTAACCTAATTCAGTTTGTTTCCTGAAGTAACAGTAGCAGTTAAAAATTCAGGACATGGTCAAGCAGAAAGCTTTTGTGTCTGTGAAACAAACAGATAAGAAAGGAAAGGTGGAGCAGCAGGCTCACAACAACTGGATCATAAGTGCAAGAAGTTGTGAGAGAACAGTCATGTTTGAAACATAGAGTGAGAGAGTCTGATGCAAAGTGCAGAGTGGAAGAACAGAAGATAACAGCTTCACACAAAATGAATAATTGAATTCCAGTGTTAATAAAAGGTTGGAACTGTAGGTAAGAGTGCAAACAGATCTGTTACGTATAATCCCTGACCCCCATCTTCTTCCACCATCATGGAGAAGCTAGAAAAGGTTGAGGTTCACAGAGCAGGAAAAGAGTCTCCCTGATGAACACATTCATTAGCTCAGTTCATTAATTGATAAGTGTGAGTGCAACACCCTGGGAAATCTAATTAGAGATAGTGGGAACTGAAGCCTAGAGTAAAGAGATTGTTCATTTTCTATTTTGAGAAAACCTGTGAAAAGTAAAGTTGATTGCAGGTACAGCATACCAAGAATGTTTTCTAAAAGATGAAGAAAACTTAGAAAAACGCCTTATTTATTTCAGCAATAAATTATCTGTCTAGTTGATTCTGAAATTAATTAAATCAAATGATGTAAGCTGGATCAATATTGGTATTTTTCCTCCATGTCTGGGTTTATCATAAACTCCTCAAAATAAAAGGAAAACTTAAATAACACATCCTAGATCTGAATGGATGAAATATTCTCCTTTATTAATGTTCTGTACAAAGTTCAATGTGTTGCTATCAAAATCACACAAAAATCATCAATGGTAATCAAATTTATTAACCAACTGTCCTGGATTTGGAATCACAGAAAAAAATTTAAGTGGAAAAACTTCACTACAGCCTGATCTAACTTTGATATAATGTCCTTAAAACACATTTAAATTAGGCTCAGCGTTGTGTGTGGCCTCCATGTGCCTGTATGACCTCCCGACAACTCCTGGGCATGCTCCTGATGAGGTAGTGGATGGTCTCCTGAGTTTCACCTCCCAGACCTGGATTAAAGCATCTACAAACTCCTGGACATTCGGTGGTGCAACTCGACGTTAGTAGATGGATGGAGACGTGACCCCCAGATGTGCTGAATCTGTTTCAGGTCTGTGGAAGGGCGGGTCAGTCCATAGCTTCAATGCCTTTATTTTGCAGGAACTGCTGACACACTCCAGCCACATGAGGTTTAGCATTGTCCTGCATCAGGAGGACCCCAGGAACAACCCGACCCGCATATGGTATCACAAGGGGTCTGAGGACCTCATCCCGGTACCCAGTGGCAGTCATGCTACCTCTGGCGAGCATATGGAGGGCTGTGCGGCCCTCCAAAGAAATGCCACTCCACACCATTACTGACCCACTGCCAAACAGCTCATGCTGAAGGATATTGCAGGCAGCAGATCGCTCTCCATGGTGTCTCTAGATTTTGTCACATCTGTACGGTGTGAATCTGCTCCTATGAAGACCACAGGGTGCCAGTGGTGAATTTGCCAACCCTGGTGTTCCCCGCGTAAATCCCAAGCATCCTGCATGGTGTTAGGTTGGGAGCACAATCCCCATCTGTGGACGTCAGGCCCTCATACTATCCTCATGGAGTTGGTATCCAACTGTTTGTGCAGACACATGGACATTTGTGGCATGCAGGAGGTCATTTTGCAGGGCTCTGGCAGTGCTCCTCCTGTAGCTCCTAGCACAAAATGAAGGTAGCGAACCTGCTGCTGGGTTCCTGCCCTTCTATGCCCTCCTCCATATCTCCTAGTGCACTTGCCTCTATCCTGGTAGAACCTCCAGTGTTGTGACACTACGCTGACAGACACTGTAAATCTTCTGCCACAGCTCACATTAATGTGCCATCCTGGATGTGCTGCACTACCTGAGTCAGTTATGTGGATTGTAAAGTCATTCTCATGCTACCATGAGTGTAAAAGCACCACAGACTTCCAAAGCTGACCAAAACAACAGCCTAAAAGCAAAGGCATTGAGAAGTGGTCTGTGGTCCCCACCTGCAGAACCAATCATTTATTGAGTCTGTCTTGCTAAACGGCAATCATTTCCACTAGTTGTCTATTCCATTTGCACAACATTTAGACAAAAGTATGTGAAATTGATTGTCAATCAGTGTTGCTTCCTACTGTAATTGGACAGATTGATTTCACAGATGTTTGATTTCATTGAAGTATATTGTGTTCTTGACATTTTTAGCAATTTATAAATAAATCAAAAAGTAGTTCTGAGACTGAGGAAGAATATATGATTAAAACTGACTTACAGCTAAATGTAGTTGTCTATATTCAAGTGAGACGCATCTGGCGAAGCTCGGAGGACCCCAGAAAGCAACTCCGTTATTATCCAGCATACATCGACGACTAGCAGATCCTAAAAAAAAAGAGAAAAAGATTTGGTAAAAAAAAAAAAAAAAAAAGCAAAACATGATAAAGGTGCAATAAATGTACAGTTCTTTTGTGGGCGTTATGTAATGTCTATAGCCAGCAAAATACTATCATTTAGAACATGTTTTGTCTAACATCCCTTTTATTCAGCCAACTTTGTTTTGGATATAAATTGAAAGAGTCATCTCTTAAAAGGTAATGGAAAAATAATCGGGAAAAAGCAAGAAAAAAAGTAAATATATATATATATATATATATATATATATATATATATATATATATGTATATGCATTGGATTTATGTTGTATTAAAGTTTGCTTTGAAATCTTTTAATAACCATTTCAACAGCAGTTGAAAAAAAAAAATATTGGCATCACAACTCCAAGGTTTGAGGTCTTCAATGCCTTTATCCTGATTTTTAGCTCCATCCACTGATTTAGGACAGCACTCCTGTACGGCCTCTCTACAATTTTAAAATCACTGCCATTTAAAAGAAAAAATGTTGGTTATTTTATGCTTAACTGTATGTCTGGTGAACAAGATGACCTCAAAAGAAGGTTCATATTGTGTCTGATAATACATCTCAGTATTGGTTTGACCCAATGTATTGCATGTTGAGTCCTGATGGCAATCATCCATTTTCCGTCACGCTTATCCCAAGCGGGGTCACATGGGGTGCTGGTGCCTATCTCCAGCTGTTTACAGGCGAGAGGCGGGGTACACCCTGGACAGGTCGCAAGTCCATAACAGCTGATGACAACCATTCGATTTTTATTTTAGAATAACCTTGCAGTTAAAAAACTGTCACAATCTCATAGAACTATGTTGGGTTTTGTCTGTTTGGTTTTATTTCACTCATTCCCATGTCTCTCTGTTAATGTTCAGATATTTTTCCTTCATTCCCTTAAAATGCTGTAATATTCTATTTAAGATCTTTTTTTCATCCTCCATCATTCTTTATACTCCCAAACAGCTGCAACCTATTTAGTTAATTTGACTCACCTGTTCATTGTTCTCTTTATCACCTTTCTCTCTCATTCATAATCATGTGGGAGTCTTGCGTTTCTATCTCGCTCCCATGTGTGTTTCATGTTTCGTACAACGGCCTAAATTCCTTTACTACATTTGTTGCTTGTATAAATTTGATTTTGGACCCATTATTTTATTAAACCTTCACTTTCCCCAACAGTTTGCTTAACTTCTGTCTGTATTTGGGTCCCTTAGCAATACACTAGCAGAAAGAGAGTTAATTCCAAGCATCTCAGCATACCTCCCTTGGGCTTTGTTAGATTAACAGGGTCAGAGCATCACTTTGTTGCATATTAACTAGGGGTGTTAGGTAGCATAGCTTAATCTTTTTTCAATCTTAAAGCACATGGTTTTAGATACAGTGAAAAATTTAGTCCCCAAGTTTATTTATCTTTCAGACTTAAATTGTCTTTCTGCTATAAATGCTTACGTATAATATGTTTTTATAGGGTACAACTTTACCAGAAGGTGCCATCAAAGTGAATAGCACACAATCAGCTGCTACACACAATTATTTCTTGAATGATGTGTCACTGACCGATAACATTTGTTGGACACTTGTTGTAGACAGTCTCTCCTGCTGAGGCTCTCTTCCATGACATTGAAAGGAGGTTCTCATCTTTGCATATCTCATGAGGAGCTGTGGAGGAGAAAGGGAGCATTGAATGAAAAATGTAGCACAGTCTAGCTAGCAAATAGAGTCACACACACTCAGTAGATGAAAAAGGAGACAGAAAAGGCAAAAAACAAGATTCAAATCTGAGGGCTCCTGCGGTGGCTCACAATTTTATTCCCTTTCGCAGTGCTCTCTGTCAGTGACATTGACTCAATGCAGTATCTCATTCCCTCTTCATCTTATCCCCTCTTTTTATTCATCTATTTCTGCCCTTCTTCCCTCCCGCCCTTTCATAGCCCTGATGAAAAAACAGAAGCGAACACTCTGAAGAGAGTCCAAGGGGGGGATGAATGCTGGCAGAGGCAGATGAAGGGAGATGAAGAGGGACAGAGAGCAAAGAGCAAAGACACACAGACGGAAAATAGGATATTATGTTCTCCTGCAATTCCACTAGATGAGATCTTATTGTTTTACAGAAGAACCCGGAGTGAATCCTAAAACAAAAGGAGGTGTCACAGTGGAACTTTAACGTTTGTAGCCTCCCTTTAAGCTCAAAAGCAATCACATGCACATGTGGCACTCAAAAAATAGACTGGCATATTCAGGCGGCATAAGTCAGGGAACAGTGACAAATACCAATTGAAGTTTCGAGTAAAATGTCCTCAAGCAAAGAGGAGATACTAAAAAACACAGCAGGATAAAGTATACAGGAAAAGGAAGTGTATGAAAAGCATTGTTTAAGAGATGAAGAGTACATTGGCAGGATAAAAAGAAAGCATCACAAGCCAGAGACATTTTAAACTCAGTAAAGAGGCAAAATAAAAAATAGAATGTAGGGAAAAGGGAAGCCAGACAGAAAAGATGAAGAGAGAAATGAAGCTGCAATTTCAGTAAAGGTCACTGAAAGAAGAGTGAACCAATGGAGAAAACAAAATTTTCCCTGAAAAATACTTTGCTTTGGATTTAAAGAAATATACTTTTAAACCTGAAATGTAAAGAAAAACATGCACAAAAAAAAGATGTAATATATATTAGAGTGTTAATACTGAGAAAAACCACAATGTTTGATTTATATCATTCTTAAGGAAGCAATGGTTTAAGTTTATTTAAGGGTCCTGTCACACCTTGACAATTTAGCCAGTGTATGCCTGATGTCCCAGAATCTTAACTTTCTATGTATTTTTTCAATTTTAAGTCCAGAATTAATGTCCAACAACAGCCTAACTTATGCATAACTCACGGCAGCGTAATGCCCATGAAATGATGCACAAACATCATTTCATGGGCATTACGAAGCATCAGTTAAAGCTGCTCCCCTCAGGCACATTGTTGCACCCCCTCAGGAGAGGTGGTGCCCGGTCTTCATAAAAAGATTTCTCTGATCGCGGTATTAACCTAGCTGCTGTTTACCATGCGCCGAAAAAAATAAATAAATAAGGAAAAAGAAGAAAAGGAAAGAAAGGAAGAGGGTTTGCAGTCGCAGCCGATTCAGGGTCATGTCCGCCAGGAAGTTTGTTGGTAGTGGTCGTGGTCGTGGCCGTGGGCGTGAAAGCAGGGAAGATCCATCACATTCACCTTCTCACTCACCCTATGATGGGGATGAAGTCTGGACGAGAACTGACGGTTTCCTCCAGTGAAACCCCCTTTTTTTTTTACTGAACAGCTGCCAATATGCCATTAAACAGTAGCTGTAAGTTAGAAGCACGTCAAAAACGTTGATATGTGTTGGAGATAAGTTCTTGATAAGCATGTTAAAACATTTTCAATGTACTTGCCATATGTTGACGTGTGCCAACATGTTTCAGAGTGCTCTAAACTTATACAAAATGTAACCCTAACTTATCCAATGTATGGCAGCGTTTTTGCCATATTTTTCATACGTCAGGCATACGCTAGTCTATATTGTCAAGGTGCAACAGTATGGAAGAACAGTGGAATCTGATTTTTTTTTTGTACACCGAATTTTAAACACTGAATTTTTTTAACACTATATTTTAAACACTGAATAATAATTCAGTGAAAGGTATTCAATGTATGAAAATATTCAGTCTTTACAATTCGGTGTACAAAAAAAAAAAAAATCAGATTCTAATGAGTCTGTTTTTCTTCCATGTGACAGGGGCTTAAGCCCTCCAACACCCAGGACAGACATTAGAATCACTTACCAGGGCACTTCTTCTCATTGCAGGACCTAACCTCCTCTCCTGAACCTTCACAGGGAGAGCCTTTTACCCCGCTGCCCTCACACATCCTGTAGCGTCGCTGCCACCCTGAGTCACACGTCTTGCTACAGAGACTCCAATGATTCCAGCTGCCCCAGTTACCTCCACCTAGTGTACAGAGATATCACCACAAGTGAAGATTGGGAACATATATATATTTTTTTGTTGTAAAAAGGAGTACCCAAATTAGCCCCTAACCCAAAACACATTTTTAAGCTGCATGTGGAAAGGAAAAAGCATGCCTTAAATAAATGCAAAAGACTGTTTTTGCATATTGCTGTCCAAAGGCACATAAAGCACCAAAACCAACTTCTTTTTTCCTGCCTTACCACTGCACGAAGGGTTGGTGCATTCCTTACTCTCCTGATGGGGCCCCTTACACTCAGCCCAGCCATGCACTGACGGACTGCAGCGTCTCTGCCTCAGTTGGGTCCCAGTGTTGCAGGTTACACTACATTTTGACCAGGCGCCCCACTCCAACCACTGGCCTTCCACTGCACAGCAGGGAGAGAGACGGAGGTGGGTGCAGAGAAACAGAGCAGATGGTGATAAGAAGGAATGGAGGTAAAATGACATAGATTTAAAAAGGAGGACAGCAAATGTGGAGGCAGAGTGGAAGAGAAATAGAGAGAGAGGACAGAAGTAAAAGTGAGCAAGTTACAGATAATTCATTTCATGAATTGGGAATAAATACATTTAAAGGCTCTTGGTACTTCCACACTAAGGATAGGAACAACAGCTGCAACAAACTCCTCATCTTAGGACGTTTTAAATATTTCAGCCTGTTTCAGAAGATGGGGCTAGATAAATTGCCTCTTACATTGTTTGATAGAGTTCACAGAAAGTACAGCCAGTTCTTGTTTTCTTTAAATTGTTCTATAAAAGGCACCAAACTTCAACTACTATATACTGGTTTTGTAGAGAACAACAGTGAGATAGATTGGTAGTACTGTATTAAGCTTGCATTATTATGTAAGTTATAAGAAATTAAGTTAAATCCAAGTTAAAAGTTTCAAAAAGATGTAAAACGTTTTTTGGTTATTTTTGTACCTTTACAAAAGCTTTACAAAAACACTGCACAGTTACAATTTAAAATGACAATAATATGGTTTTGTAAACTTCTGATTCACATGGATAAATACCAACATATCCAAAAGAGAATTGTGGACCTTCACAACTCTGATCCTTGCTTGATTATCATGTCCAGATTCTCAGTGATGCCAGGTTCTTCTGTTCAAATGAATATGTGCAGTAAGGTACCTGCCCCGACCTGTCCAGGGTGTACCCCGCCTCTCGCCCATTGACTGCTGGAGATAGGCACCAGCACCCCTCGCGACCCCACTTGGGACAAGCGTGTCAGATAATGGATGGATGGATGGAAGGTATCTGCCCATTGCCCGCTGGTAGGATATTATTAGACAGTCAAACTGATCCATAACTGACTTTAATTAGGATTAAAATAGGAATCTATTAAGAACTAAATATTTGCAAAATTTTAGATAAAACAAAAACAAAAAAGGTGCACATTTTTTGAAAAACACAAATAAAATAAGAAATTATTTTAAACAAGGGCCAAAAGCTGTTGTTTTCTGATATCAAAAAGTCCCCAATTAGAAAGAATAAAAAAGACTTTCCATGATGAGGGATATAAAAAAAAAAATTACAAACTTAAACAGGAAATTTTGTTGCCTTGTTAAGTTAGACACGTGCAAGAAAAATCAACTCAGAAATGTACAATATTTTACATTCACTGTGACCTAAACCTTTAGATGTATGGTTAGGCAAGACTGTATCTCTGTAAATCTGCTCAGATTACAAAGATATTAGTCTTTCAAGTATCACTAATTTACGCTGTGTACATGGCAAATGAGATAAATAAGAATGTGATGCAAAAACACATAAAAAATGAAAAAGAAAGAAAAGCTCTTACTGCATCCAGATGTTCAAATCTTAATTTATAACAGCTCTTTCGGGAAGTAATAAAGAGCATCAAGAAAACATTGCTCTGTTGCAGCTGCAATCTTGACAGTAATGATTACAGAAAATGTTCATTATGGGCCACATCCTATGCTGTGTTTGGTCCAGTTTCTTATAAGTACCACTTTTTTTGCAAAATGAACTTCAATAGATGTCTGTGACTGTTGTCTTAACAGCCAGCTTGCCTAACCAGCTGTCGAATAACCATGTGGTTTGGAATTGCTACACCTGGAGAGAATTAGGTTTTTCTATTATGCTTTTACCCATACAACTGAAAAGGCGAATTGGCTGTTATTTCATTTGAAATGGCCATCTCCAAAAAATATGACCTGATGAAAGATCAAGCCAGACATGTGAGTTAAAGATATGACTATAATCTTTGCAAAAAAAAAAAAAAAAAAGTTTGGCCACTTTAAACATTCTGTTTACCATGAAAAAATATTAGAACCTCTAAAAACTGATAACATCCTGACTTCATTAACATAGTTTACCTGTAAAGCTAAGTACATTTTATTAATTAATGATTTACAAACATGAAAACAGAGGAAAACATTGACTTGCAACAGTGGACTCCCTAAGGCAAACCACAGAAGCCCCTGCATTAAATTTTTGCCATGTATTATACATACTTCTGACAAATGTAATGCTAATACTGCAGGCATTTATGAAAAGGTCATTCAAGGTGCACAGATCTTTTGATACATTTTGTTTTTTTACATTGTATTGGTTGAGTACTTTAAAAGGAGAAACAGAAGAACAAAAGAGAGAGGACACATGCAAACAATGTCTAATAATTTGTCAACGTTCAATTTTGACTTTCAATACCCTGATCATGTTGAATCACAAATGAAAAATTTGCAAGTTTCATTTAAAATATCACACTAGCATTAGAGGTCAGTGCATTTTAACTTTTGTATTTTAGTGAAGCCTTCTGTCTCTACTGCAGAAGAGATCACAAAAAATATAAGAAACTGAGGTTTACAGAACAAATGCAGTTATTTACAAAAATATATTTTTTTTGTTTATGATGGCATTTTGAGAACATTAAGTTCAGGAGGCAGATAGAGCACACCTCTGTAAATATGTTATTTCTTTGAAAGGGGAAGGCATTACCAAACCCTGATGGTGATGATTGGCAATTATTGCTTTGTGAGACTTTTTGAAATAGCTTAGAGCAAGGGCAAACTGTATTGAATGAATTGTTTGCTATGGTCAGAGTGTGAATCTGACAGTGTTAAAGATTGGACATTTTTTTCAAAATGCATTTAAAGGAACATAAATCAAAAACATCCATTTACAGACTGTTATTTCTTCCATTTGTGTGTTTGTAAAGCATGTCACTGCTTTGTACTCTGTTTCATCCCAGCATAATTCTATTTGTGTTGGAAAACAATATATTTTCCTATGTTAACTATTGTATATGACTTTTATTTTCTGTAAAAAGTATCGGATATAACCTAAGGAGAATAATCATTAAAAGCTAGATTTACATGTAAACAATTTTTTTAATAGAACAAGAGGCAGGATGAGAAAATGAGACTCACTGGCTTTTTTTAAATTGAGCCAGAAATGTGATTCCTGATTGGGCATGGGCCATGGGATAAGAACAATTGAGAAAGTGTTCACCAAAGATGTGCAGAGAAAACTTAAACTGAGGAGTGGCTACACTGTTATTAAGGACCACCATTGATGAAGTTGGTCATACCAAATATAACTTCACTATTTATGAATCATTCATCATTCTTGAAAAAAAACCAGAATAAAAAGAAAAGGGCCATGTCATCCTTCCGAATTAAACACGAGCAATAAATTCTGTTTTTAAATTCTATTTAAAAAGCCCTAAATCACTTCCACATATATCAAATGTATCTCCTATTTTGCTCTATACAGACTCTCAAACTAAAAAGGAATTCATTTTTGTTTCGTAAGAGTTTTTGGTTCTAACTCTGCCAACTAACAGGTTGCATACATCAGGTCTACGTATTTCAAGGAACAACCCTGTAATCCTGCGAAGTGGGAATATCAAATATCCAACTAATAAACACTCTTTTTCAGTTATGCCTTTTTAAAATCCTTAGTCATGTTGCCTGTGCAGATTTTCAGTCATCTGGGTCATGGCGACCACAAAACAGACTTAAATCAAAAGCAACTGGACTTTCCCTCAGTTTTCAATGAAACCCTTTCTCCGCTTATCCATGAATCTTTTACCCATTTTCTACTGGTCAAAAAACTTAATGAAACCCGGTAAGAATATTTTTTTGTGGCAATGGTAACAGCTCGCCAACTCGCATCAAACCAATCGGCAAAATGGCCTTTAAGTGGCTCTGCTCTGTTGGCATACAGTAGGAACACCAGACCAAGGTCCACCCACAAATTTGTGTGATACCCTTGCGTACAAGGTATTTAAGTCACAACATTGCTTCACCAAGCCAAAAAAATTCTGCTTGAATTCAGACAGATCCGGACGGGCAAAAGAGCAAATCAATAAAGCACACTGACTATGCCCTTGCTCCCTTCCATATTGCCCTCCATTGTTTATTTTCCTGATTTCTGTAGCCCCGATAACATCATTATTACTAACACAGTGTGATGGCATCACCAGACACGCAGCAGTAAGGAATAGAGGCTATATGCATCTTTCCAGCGGGAGTCAGACCCAGCTCTTTGGGAAAGGAACCAAATGTCGGTTGTTAGCTTATTTCAGTGGGAAAGCAGCTTAAGTCGATTCAATGATCCAAATGTCATCTATCTGGATCATTTGGGTTTGTTCTGTTGTATGGGTGTTGTTTTTGGCGATTTGAATCATTATCTATAACCTCTTTTGAATGAAGCTTATGCTTAGAAGGGGAAACTGCAGGCATTCCTCTCTGTTCAGTTATGTTTAGTTCTCTTTTAGCTAAGACTGCTCCAGTTCCAGGTCTGCAAGTGGATTCACCATGTCAGTTAAACAGCTATAAATAGATTTAGTCTTTTACTTGAACTTCATAGTTAACATCAAATAGTGATGTACAGTTTTGGGCATATGAGCTCTAACAATCAAAGTTTCAATTTTGTGGTCAGCTATGCTGAAGGACTGTTCTGATATTCAGCATATCAAAGGACAACCGCCTTTACTCTCCCAAATGCAAGCTGTTGTGACATAAACACAAATAAATAAACTACCCTAAGGCCATGCAAGGAAGCGCACAGGCTTCCTACCAAACTTCACTTTACATCAACTGTTGAGAAAACTGTGTGGCAAAAATAAGCCGCAGGACCAACTTTAAATTAAGGCATTACCCACTGCTTTCCTATTTTGAAAAAGACTTTATCGCTTGTTTTTTTTAGCGCCATCGGTGACAGTTTTGTTTCATGAAAGTGACCTTATAAAACCTCTGCATTAAATAACATGAAAGAAAAAAAACACAAAAACTTTAGCCTGGAATGTTACAAGGAAAAATTTAAATAAGGCTACATCATAGATTCAGGCTGCAGCTGCACTCATGGAAGAGTGGAAAATGACAGGGTCTCCTTAGCATTAATCTTACCAAATAAGAAGCACTTACACTGTGATCATTTCTAAGGCTTTAGGCGATTACAAAACCCAGCAAACACACTCACTCGGACTGAAATCAATTCAGGAAAAATAAAAGGCTATTAGTCAGAAAGAAGACATCGCTTTTCTTAAGCTGTGTGATGTTTTTAATATCTGTATATCCATTAAAAACTCTATTCCAACTCCGAATCCATTTGTCTGACAACACAGAATACCAAAGTAATTTAAATCCATGAAATGAATATTCTTTTGTGATGGTAATCTTTTTATAATTGCGTTATGTATAAAAAAATCTAATATGAACACATGAGAATAATCTGCAATAAAATAAAGGTCAAAAATAAGACAACCCTTTGGTCTTACATTTTGATATTAACACATATCTGGGATGTTACTGAGGGCATGCCTCAGAATTTTGCAATTAAGACTTAACTATGTCTTGACCGGTGAGTTATTTTCCACTCCAGGCATAGAAATACATTTCAGCTGGACAATCTAAGAAACTGGCAATTCGGGCTGTGGCAAGAAAAGAATAAGAAAGAGCTAAAATAGTATTTGAGAAATAGAGCTAATGGGTAATCTAAGAGAAGAGACTTATCATCCAAGGGGCCAGACATTTTAGCCAAGCCAGCAAGGAAGAGTACAAAAAGTAAGCTTTTTTGGAAGTGGGGTAATTTTCAAAATTAGGATTAAATCTCAGAAGAATTGATAATGATGAAACTGGTAAGTTTAAGGAGGCGGGTAGATCGTAGGAAGATTGGCATTTTGCTGCATTCTTGGCTTACAAGCATAAAAACCTGGGCAAGAATCCTACATAATTTTAATTAAACTTTTTCAGTGTATCATTTTGATAAGCGATGATTAGCCTTAGACATGCAATAAGCTTAAACTAAAGCAGCATGTCTTTTTTATACTATGTGTCCTACTTTAGTAGTTGTGTAATCGAGTCAAATCAGATGGAAAGGAAAACCAGATTATTGTTGCATACTCTTGGGAAATAAAGAAAGATGTGTTTTTTTTGCTTATATAAAAGTTCATATGTGTGTCAGAAAGCCTCATTTATTGTTTGTCAGTTTGGGACCTTGGCAGGCGAAATCAGTTAAAACTATTACAGTCAAATTATATTATTTAGAATATTATTGAAACATTCGTCAAATTCAGTAACTTATTTCACTAGTGAAAGACATTATATACATTTGCCCATTATACAGCAATTCATGCTTTAAAGCCTGCATTCCGATTCAGAATCACAATGTTTCAGGAAACTGAACTATTAGAAGGAATTTGTCCCGAAGCCAGGGTACAACCTTGTTACTGATGCTGTTTCTTTCTACTTCTTCTGATTGCATCTATGTGGTGAAGGGAATAAGTACCTCCTGCAGTAACACACATACTTCCTTAGAAAAGGGCTTCATTCTAAAAGTTATTAGGGAAAAACACTTCAAGTTTACATATATGAGTATTGAGACTTTTTAAAAAAAAAAAGCTAATAGTTATGAAAAAAAAAATCTAGATTAAATCTATTACAGATCATGGCTATCCTATCTCAGTAAATTGGTACATTATTTCAATGAAATTGTGATATTCTGTGTGGAAGTGGATCTTGATTCAGTCACTGCCTGGTTTGTACAGAAGGTGAGTGAGTGAACCTTTGCTATCAAAACTCAGTATGAATCAGTTCTCTGTGCGTCCAGCAGGTTCAGCCATAAACTTTCGCCGACCTTAGTTACCTTGGAGAAACACATGCTGTTCTATTAGTAGCAGAAGCTGGTGTGAACTTAACTGAGAAAGTAGCAAATCATTTAAGGATATAATAATATATAATTAAATTTTATTGTCATTACACTTTCACAAGTATAGAGCAACGAAAATAATTTTCTGCATTTAACCCATCCCCTTGGGGAGCAGTGGGCTGCCATTGTGCAGCGTCCAGGGAGCAGTGTGGGGTTAAAGGTCTTGCTCAGGGAGCCAGAGTGGCATTCTGTGGGAGTGGGGGATTGAACTCACAATCTCAGGATTCAAAGCTCTATGCCCTAACCACTAGGCCGCCACTCCTCCTCAGTACACTTGCCCACAGATGTCCTCTTGATAACTTGGCAGATTTATTTAGATTTTTCCATGATCTCGCATACGAAAGAAGCATGCCTTCAAATACACCCAAAGGTGTGCATTTAACTCAAATGTGGTGAAATAACCTGGTAGAAGCTTGCAAGTTAAAACAACATAATGTGGTCTTTCCCATATCATCTAAAGACACATTTTCTGTAAGGAAAGTCTCACATTTAAAGAAGTGGGAAGGTAAAATAATCTACAAATTATTTTATCATTTTAAAATTGAGCAAACTGAAGTGATATAGAAAAATTTAATTATCTTTTCATACTTCAATTCAATATCTACTCTAATGGTTATGTTGACTTGCTAATTGGTGTTGTTAAGTAGTAATAAATAGAGTATTAAAATCCCAGTTTTATGTGAAAAAAATGCCATATAAAATAAGAAATAATGGATAATGTCAAATAAGAAATCTGAAAGTATTTTTTTAAATAAAAAATTAACAATGCACAGGACAATTTAGTCAAAAGGAGATCGGCGGAACAAAACAAGGTATAATTGCAAATGTTTGCAAATTTAAGATTTCGTGACCAGGTCGTATGAAATGATTCATGAACAAAACTGGAGGAAAACAATATGAGTTATCAACAAGGAGAGAAAGAGGCTTGGTGAATTAGGTCAATGGGGATGGTACTAACCAGGACAAACGGCTATGTTGCAGGGTTTGGTATCAATCTCGGGCTGTCCACAAGGTTTGACCCCACCTCCATCCATGCATTTCCTGATGCGTGTTCTGAAGCCCCGCCCACAGGTCACAGAGCACAGACTCCATGAAGACCACTCCTCCCAGTGCCCATGCACTGTGAACACCCATAAACATGACATACAAACATGGGGATGGGAATGAGGAATGAGGGAGGAAAGGAGGGACAAACGGATAGAGCATTCAAGGGCAGGTAAAGGGTTGGAGAGTTAGAGAAATAAGAGATTTTATGAGCATTCCTTAAATATATTGCATTGAAGTGGCTTTTTCACCTCCAGGCTATGCTTAAATTAAAAAGTAAAAGGCACAGCAAGTGTGAGGCTGTACTTCAGGTCATTACATGAAATAAATGAAAACTAGGGATGGGAAATGGTATTTAAAGTCATGCAGAACTCTTGCTCTAATAAGGACAATGAAATAGATGGGGAATTTACCTCTAAACTAATGAGAACATTCAGTCTTGAAAGCATTAAAATGCACCTCTGGAATGAACCTACCCCCATATTTTTTCTTTATTTTTTGGACTGTCATATTAACTCTACTTATGAAGTTAACATGAGCAGAATAAATTAGTAGAGAAAAAAAAACTCTGAGACATTTGAAGCTGACAGTGTGACAAATTTACACACAACATGGTTATAGTATTGAGTGAAAAGCTATGCAGAAGTAATGACACCAACTGAAATTTTTGTTTGTTGATATGTAACAACCATAAAGCTTCAATGTGTTAGACTGTGACTTAATGTGATGTTGATACTGTATGCCAAAAGCATAGTTTAGAGATGGGAGGAAAATTGTTTTTCAAATATTGTTATCAACGTTCTTAAGAAATTGAGAAAGGGTCACAATCCGGTCATATATCTGTAAGTTTTCACCGCGGTCCCAAATTTAGCCGATTTTCCCTTAAGAATCGTCTCATACTTACCACAATGCAAAAAAAAAAAAAAAACAAATCTTACACTTCATGAAGCTACTGAAAAAAAAAAACTTTATATGGCATAGTCTTGCAACCACCAAGTACCTCCGTGGTGGCGGTAACTTTTAAATGTTGTAGTATTAGTTTTTACATATTTACCATACAGAAAACTTTGCATGCAAAAGAAAGAAAATTGCTCAAGTCATTTTGGGTGAGGGTGCAGGACATTTTATTTACTTTATCACATTAACATCTATTCAAGGCTAATTAGGATAACTTTTTTTTTGATAACTCTACATAACTCGAAAAGCACTCATAGAGTACAGATCTCTCAACCTGGCAGTAGTCAAATTGATATGTGTAGAACTGAGTTGAGTTCTACCTTATCAATCTGGGATGGCTGCCGTTCAGTCTGTCCGTGAAAAGGAGGGACATTTAGTACAATACTTTGAGCTGATTTGGTGAAGTGCAAGCTAGTACCTGTCTTCCATCATACGCTTTAAGCCAGTCGTACTGTAGCAGGGAATCAAGACATTACCCATCTACAAATGCACAAAGTGCTTCTCTTTGCTCCTTTTTTAGACAAGAAATTGTTGCTTTTTTTCAGATAAAACCAAGTCAATTGTGGTATCAATTGGGGAGCCTCCAGCATAGCCATGTTTTTAATGCCCTGGCAGAGCCCTTCTGACTGTCGTCATTCTTACGTATATGTCCCTCCCCTAAAAACACTGCTGGCATGTCATTGCTCCAACTCGCTAGTTGTTGTGATTGTTTAGCGGGAGTGTTTCAAGATGAATTTGTTGTGAGACTGAAAACGTAGATCTTGGGTCAATCCAGCTTGCAGCGCAAGGTTACAGATCTCTGCCAAGCAGCAAAATTTGCCCTATAGTGGGACTTACACCCATAACTAAAACTAGCACATTCTTTCCAAATTTTATTGAGTTGTTCCGTGGCATGAGGCGCACCTCTGTTAATAATTTCCTTAAAATTCATTCATTGATTACCTTTCAAGTTATCCTGCTAACAAACCAACAAACAGACCAACCGATATGCTTCTGCATGGCTGCCCTGACAGACACAGCATGTGTTTGCAGCCTCTGGTGTCTGTTCTGTTCTCACCTTCTTTATTCGCTCTGTACTATAATCTCTTTGTTGATCAGCTGGTTGAGACTTTGAGTGGGACTCGCTGTCGTTTTCTTGTATGTTTTACATTTTATTATTAAAACAGTATTGTTGAGGTTATACTGTGAAAAATGTAAAACAAGCATGAAGAGGATAAATACATTTGCACTATGCATTACAGTTCAAAAGACCAAAAAATAGAAAACAAAAAGGAAAAGATACAATCATTAAAATACTCAACATCACTACAACAAGAACAGAAGACAAGATTTAAGCTGATATTAAAAGCTACAAGACGCAAAACAAAATGGATCTCAAGGTTTTAAACATTCAAGTATCAAAAACTGAGGCCATGAGAACAGATTAGAGCATTCTAAAATATTCAGAGTGATATCTAGAGAAAAGGACCTTGGATAAGAGGAGGTCTAAGAAACAAGAAAAAACATGGTTGAAGAGAAGTTGAAATGAGTGAGAGAAAGTGAAATTAAGCAGGATGTAGAGACGTGGAATGGGAAAGGAGTTTGGAGTAGCAAGCAAGAGAAACTTAGAAACTGGAGGATGAAGATTGCAGCTTCTATGTTGAGCAAAGCTGAATAAATCATTGCAATAAATAATTAAAGCCACTCTGTGAAGGAACGCTCTGAGCAGCAGCTGTAGAAAGCGGGAGAGAGGGAAGATGGCTGGATTTAAAAAAAAAAGACTAGAGATATGTTGAGCTGGTAAATAGTGAGATGTCCTCAAATTCTGAAAAAAAAAAAAAAATGTTACCAGTATATGTGCTGCTTTACAAAAACACTTAATGCTGTAAAAGTTGTAGATAACTTTGGAGCATTTGAGACCTTCTTACTTATGCATTTCAGATATATATTTTTCACAAACTTTATTTTGAAATTTTTTTTAACTAGAGCAGTTTGTACCAGCATACTGTGTTTAATATAACTCAATGGCATTCCTCTGAACTATTGTTCAAAGGTATACCATCATCAGGCATTTAAATATATTGGAGCATTTTTGTGAGATCAGATTCCACATGGTCTTACAATCACTCCTAACTCTTTCAGCAACTCAATCTAATTTTAAAACAAGGTTTCACTGGATTTAAATTGCAATACTCAGAAATACTTGCATGATTAAGACATAGTTTATGTCCGACAACATGAAGCAGGCTCCAAGATTTTATAAATCAGCATGTATGACACAATTTAACACCCCAAATGAAAACAATGAAATTTGCAATAATCAGTTCATAAAGGGTTACAAAGCATTTTGGGCTTAGAGGCTCCAGCAATCTTCAGAAAAATGCACTATCCACAAATAGAAAAGGTGGGATGTGGGAAACCATGCCAAAAGCACTGACTATTCATCCTGGACATTCAAAGAACTTACAAAGCACTGTAGGCTAAACTAGCCTTAGTTATACCTATGTTGAAAATACTGCTTATTTTAGAGGCATATTGATTTAGAAATAACCAAAAGAACTTTTACATATTTTCTAAAATCAATGTGATGATCCCCATGAATTTTGCAAATATGGTGTATGGACAAATTAAACTAAATCATTAAATCAAATCATTAAATAATTTTGGAATTTCTGGCTAACATATCCTCTTGGAACTTGGAGAAAAGAACATCATACCTATAGACAAAATCACCAGGGTACAGGTACATCATCTGTCAATGAATACATATACCACAATACCTCCTGCCATATTTTTGTCATCTCCTGTTTCTTATTTTTACATATCTATCTTTACTTGATTTGTTGCTGATAATTGTTGCACTTATTTTAATTATAATAATAGTATTTTTGATACAAATCTTCAATTTGTTTTAAATTAAAGGTGGAAAAAGCATTTTAATCTTGTACATTTAATTAGCATTAAATAGCATTGATTTGATTTGGCACCAGTGTGATGGCGTTGGCTGGTTTGCTTTTTCAGGATCAGGATAATTTAATAAATAATCTGCTTTAGCAGAACATGATATGTCCCACCATCAATATCTTAAATTAGGCTCAAATGATCAAAAGAACTTAGGTAATGCAGCAGGACAATAATTTAAAGACACCAATGCCAGCCTTCTCCATTTCAAATTAGATAAAAAATACACATTGCATTGAATACTAAACTAAATCTTATCTTAATATTATCACAAAAAAAAATCTGTGCCTTCAATGTTACTACAATTTATTTAGACATTTTAATCAAATATATAAAATCAAGGGGAAAAACAAAATGCTATGAATTAACCACATTTTGAGAAGAGTGATTACAGAGATTTAAAAATCTAATTGTGAAATATGGCTGAAAAATATTAAAGTCTGTATAATTTTTCCAGTTTTTCTTACAAATGCTATTCAAAAATCAATGAACACTTTGAAAGGTAAGACATATCAGACCTCCTAAATGACATTTACATGCACACATTATTTGGTTGGAACTCCTATTACACTACTTGAATTACTGCATACATTTGGTATGGCATTAAGAAGGTTCTGGGTTCACGAAGAAGTTATAGAAGCCCTGGTTGCTTTAGTGTAAGAGTCAACTGTTCTGCATTGATAAGTCAAGTGGTTCTGAATTTCATCTGAGCAATACCTTATAAATTCTTCATATTTTTGGTTTAGGCAAATGTGACATGGGATCAAGCACAGTAACATTTATCCCTTAAAAATAAAAAGAAATCATTGGGTTTACAATATATCTGTTTTTATAAGGGAAAATGTTTATTTGTTATTAACTGTAAGGCTTAAATATCATTGCTACCAGAAATAAACACTTAAGAAAAAACCCATCCTCATAGAAAGAGTTAAATTAACTTTGTAGTTGATTTATAATTTATTGATGGTCCTATTCGGATATCAAGGGGTCCGTAGCCTGACCAGAGGTTTTGATCCAAACAGGAACAAACAGATCCAGGGATCTAGGAATCAGATGGAGATGGGCGGGCCCAGTGTTTGAGAGGAACAGAGACAAGACATGGTACCAGGAGAACTGCAGAACCTTAAACTGGCTCCACTGAGAAGAGCTGGGACCCAAGCTTTCCTAGCACACCGAGCC